TTTCCCTCTCTGACCCTTTGTTTCTTCCTGTGCAATGACTGCTTCCAGTTCCCAGGTACTATTAGCCTCCCTGGATTCTCCCTGCAGAAAGGGGACCCCACTGATCCCTGAGAAGACTCTGGGGATCTGCTGCAGCGCCCTAGTGGGCCCCTTTAGCATCGATAGCAGTAGTGACCTTTGGTTCTGTGGTTACCTCCTGCCATATTTCAACAAGACCTGAAATGGTCACTGCATGCTGCAGTGGTGACCAGGCCAGGAAGCAACCAAGAACCTGCTACCCCCCAGGCTGCTGGTTTTCCCTTCCCAGAAAACTGGTCTCTGCACATGAATAAGGACCAGCAGTTGCTTCTCACGGTGCTAGTAAGAGGAGGCCAGCCAAGTGCGGGCTGAAAGACCTGGAGGAATAGGGAGTCAGGGAGCCTCACCTTTCTGGGACGCCTTTCTGACAAGGCCCTGTGCTGGATGCTTTGATTAATTACCCTGAGAGATAACCTAGCATTACCCCTGTTGCAGAACTGAGGGAAATGAGGCTTAAAATTCCAACCTAGGCCCTAGCTGGGTTGTTCAGTGGTTAGAGTGTCAGCCCACAGACTGAAGGGTCTCGGGTTCCATTCCGGTCAAGGGCATCTATCTCAGCTGCAGGCTCAATCCCTGCCCCCATAAAGGTGCATGGAGGGGGCAACCCAATAGATGTGTCTCTCTCACATTGATGTTTCTCTCTCTCTAAATATCAATGGAAAAATTATCCTCAGGTGAGGATTAATAGCAACAACAACAAAATTCCAACCTAGGTCTGTCCAACTTCAGAGCCCATGACTTCGCTTGGGTCGTGTTCCTTCCTCTACATGGCTGTACAGCACTAGAGCTGGAAGGGATCAAGCATCCATCTGCTCCCCCGCTTCATTTCACAGCTAAGGAAACGGAGGCAAGCTAAGCAGTTTGCCTTTCAGGAAGATGAGATGTCTATTCACTTGTGAGAAACCTGGAAATTTTCACATCTGTTTCATGTGGCATAATAGATCCCAAAAATGAAGGTGTTATCTAAAAGTTTAAAAGCAGGGGAGGGGGAGCAGTTTTAAAGGCAGCGGAGTTATTTGGAGGGCATAGTCCTTTCAAGAAAACTCCCAATAGTTTCTAGTTGCCTGGGAAATGAGACAACTTCACTATTTAACCCAGTGGTCGGCAAACTGCGGCTCAACAAACCGTGGCTCGCGAGCCACATGCGGTTCTTTGGCCCCTTGAGTGTGGCTCTTCAACAAAATACCGACTTCTGCACATGGGCCACGAAGTTTCAATTGCACTGTATGTGCGCGCCCACACATGGTATTTTGTGGAAGAGCCACACTCAAGGGGCCAAATTTTAACGGAAAGACTCTCTTAAATCTGTTACTTTACCAGTCAATTCAGAGGGAAGTTCTTAGCACAGTGATCTTTGTACCACTTCAGGAGGGATTGAAATACTATTAAACTGCGCAGGACTGTCCATCATTGTGTGACAATGGGAATACATTCTGAGAAATGCATTGTAAAGCAATTTGTCACTGTGCCAACATCACAGAATACACAGACCTAGATGGTATAGCCTACTACACACCTTGGCTATCGATTATACCACTGTTGTATAATGGTTCATCACTCACCAAACCATTATCATGCAGCACATGACTATATCCCAGGCCCCCAGTGAGGAAGGTCAAGGATTGGGAGTTTTGTTGACAAAGAACTTGGGTTTAAATGACCATAATAAAGTTTGGTTCTGAATTTCAGGTCAAAAATACAACCAGATATCTTCATGTCCCCCCAGACAGTCCTCTGTCATTGAGCATTATTGTTTGGGTCATTTTACATGGGGAGTATAATGAAATTCTAACATTTAGATCATACTTGAACCAGGCTTTCCAGTGGACCCATGACATTCTCTAGCAGTAAACTGACCTTTGAGAGAGGCCACACATTTGCAAAACATTCAGTTTTTCCAAATCACTGAGGGACTATGGCACATCCTGTGAATTACACTCTGACCAGAATCAGTTCCTGCAAAGGAGGTAGCGCAGAGTCCAAAGTTGCATGCTGAGTAAATGTGCCCATGTGTAAATGTGTCGAATGGACAAATTCTTAGAATTCTTTCAAGTTGGAAGGAATCTTACAGATGTTCTAATCCTATAATCCTCCAACTTTGGTGAATGTGTTATACTTCAGTTAAAAATAAAAAACCACAACTTTAAAAAATAAATTTTAATGAGCATAAGAATCACCTGGGAAGCTAGATTATTTTGAAAAATTGATTCCTGAACTCCAATCCCCAAAAAGCACTGATCCGGAAGAACTGTGGTGGGACCCAAGGATGTGTATGTTTATAATAAGCCCCACCCCTTCCCTGGATGATTTTGAAGCAAACAGTCTGAGGACTAGACTTTGAGAAACGATTAGTCTAATTTCCACTTGTTTCATAGCTGAGCAATTTCCCAGAGGGGTGATATCACTAGCCTGGAGTCACATGGCTAGTTAGCAACAGAGAGCTGGGGACAGAACCCAATTTTCTTTCTCACTTCCAGGGCACTTCTTACCCTGTTACACCATCTGAACATGGTACATAAAGGTGAGGGGTTTTAGAACTACGTGTTGGAGTGGTGACAATTCAATAGGGTTTGAGTCTGCACTATCAGGAATTTCAGTGCCCAGTCATTTCTTCAGAATTTACTCTATTTCCAAAAGTCAAAGATTCACAAACGCTTCCCCAAATCAAACAGAAGCCCCCGTCTCCCAGAGAATACCATCTTCTCTCTGTAGTACATTCAGGATCCTTCTCCGTGGCAGGGTATGGTGTAAATAATTACATGGAAAACAATTGCCTTCACTTATTTGAATCTGTGTTAGCTTTATTGATAGAAGCCAACCTGTTGGTCTGGCAGTTTTTCAAGCAATTTCCCAAACATGGAATATGAGAAACATAGGAATTAATTGATTACCTACACTAATAAAAGAGAAACATGCAAATTGCTGTCACTCCGCAACTCCCACCAGCCAATCAGAGTGACTATGCAAATTAACCCAACAAAGATGGTGGTTAATTTGCATACACAGGCACGGAGCAAAGACTGAAGGCTCTGGCCGGAGTGAAGACTGTAGACTGAAGACTGAAGACTGAAGCCTCACTGTGGCCGGACCAAAGGCCTGGGTCCCAGGTGCCGGAGGAAAACCCATGCCAGCAGCCAGGGGACCGAAAGCCTATTGCACGAATCTTTGTGCAACAGGCTTCTAGTAATTATATAATTATATAATTAATTTCATACGACATAGGATGTTTTGTGAAACCATTCAAAAGAGTCCTCCCCCCCACTTTTCCCAACAGTAAATTTGCTTTGTTTCCACTTGGGCTATCCTTAAGATTGTCACTAAGCTAGCTCTCTGACTAGAAGGGTAACCCAGGTCTCCCATCAGTTTACTGGCAAGGTCTCCACCATCTGACCCAATATAGCCATGCAAGGCTCCCACAGTGTGGCCTCTACTCTTATACAAGGCTTTAGTAACAGTTAAAGATGCTTCCTGTTGCAAGACCCGGGTCCAGCAAGGTCATAAAATGTTCCAGGTTACCTTCGACCTTGTTTTTAAGGTTGTGAAAAACAAAATTGGACCTTTAAGCAATGTGATAAAAGAAAATGCTTCCAATTTTTTTTTCAAAGGTGTTGCATCATTGTAAGTTCTAAAACAGGAGAACTTCATTATAAAACTAGTGTCAGGACCAAGGAGAAGTCTTGTAATACAAACTTTCGAGGTTAGATTAAGAAAAGCAGATGGCACACCAATTTAACTTCAAATCAAGAAGCATTTAGAGAGTCCCCATAAAGTACAAGCTAGTTGCCAGGGTGGGATGAAAAGTTAAGAAAATGAATTAGTTCAAGGATCTTACCATCCAGCAAAAGAACTAAGCCGCATACACATCTGATTGTGACATGCAGGAGCTCCAAAGTGCTATGGGGTGGCGGGGGGGGAGAGCAGAGGGTGAAGGCTTTTGGGGTCCTTGACAACTGAGCCGAGCAAGTGCAATTGAGAAAGGGGCATTTCAGGCAAGAGGTGCCCAAGAGGCAGTTTTCGTTAGTTCTGTAACACAGTGAGGTGCTTCATTAAAGAGTTTTACTATGTAAGGACAAGAGCAGGCTGGACTTAAATAATAGCAATTTTTTAAGCTGTTTACTGATGAGATTCCACTGTTGAGAACATAGGGACTCAGAGAATTCAAGGAATGGCCAACAGCAGTGGCCTAACATTGATGGAAAGAGATCATTTTCCAGTGTTAATGTTAGCTAAGGATCAGGGCATAGACATAATCTTATCTCCACTCCTGTTATCTCTCTGTGTTGCCCAAGGAGTAACTTTGATGAATCACTTTAATTCCCCTTGATTATCTCAAGGACATAGAATTCTCTCATATATCTAGCACATAATACAACCACTGAGCCATACTGCTGGGCAATAGTCACTCTGTAAATGTTGCATTGAGTTGTGCCTTTCTAGTTGAATGTAACAGACTCTCTTCTCTGAAGCTTAAGAACCATTGGGTTGGGCAAGAGGGCATAAAAAATGATGTAAAACAAATCACATGTATCCTGATTTGAGAAAATCCATTTAGACACAATCCGCCCCCCCGCCCCCAAGCCCAGACTCATCCTACCAAAGACTTGTGTATGTTCCAGTTTACATCTGGCAGTGGGTGTAGGAGGGAGGTGCTCTCTCTTTCTCGGGTCTCATTGACAGAGAGGAGACTAGTGATGAGCACAGGATGGGCTGGAACCATAGTGTAGGAAGCCTGTGCATAGATGGTGGGGGACAGAAGCACAGACATCAAATGAGTAGTGTATCCTAGGGCTGGGGTCCCAGCCAGGTAACCCAAGGTCTGAATGGACCGCTAGCTTGAACATGTTCTCTCAAATTTTCTTCTTCGCCTGTTTAAAAGGGGGTGGTAGTACATTTCTATTCAAAAACAAACTAGCACTTTGCTAGCGTAACTAGGAATACTTTTTTTTCTTTTTTTAAAAAAATATATTTTATTGATTTCAGACAGAGAGGAAGGGAGAGGAATAGACAGTTAGAAACATCGATGAGAGAGAAACATCTATCAGCTGCCTCCCGCACTGTGCGTGTGCGCCCGCACGTGGTATTTTGTGGAAGAGCCACACTCAAGGGGCCAAAGAGCCGCATGTGGCTCACGAGCCGCAGTTTGCCAACCACAAAGCTAGGACCTTTATTTTTCTTTTCTTTTTAATTGAATTTATTGGAGTGATGTTACTTAATAATGACATTACTTATATAGGTTTCAGGTGTAAAATTCTGTAATACATTATCTGTATATTGTATTATGTATTTACCACCCCAAGTCAAATCTCCTTCAGTCACCATTTATCTCCTCTTTACTCTGTTCTACCTCTCCCCCCGCCCCGCCTTTCCCTCTGGTAATCACCTACTGTTGTCTGAGTCTATGAGGTTGTTTGTGTGGGGGTTTTTTTGCTTAATCCCTTCACTTTTTTCACCCAGCCCCCAAACTCCCTTGGCTCTGATAGCTGTCAGTTTGTTCTCTGTATCTTAGAGTCTGTTTCTGTTTTGTTTGTTAGTTTATTTTGTTCATCAGATTCCACATGTAAGTGGAAATGTGACTACAGTGCGAATAATATTTAGAGTCATAATCTTGTCAATTCCGATTATTGGTTTTTAGCTTCTAGAGCCAACCCATAGACAAAGCTCAGAGGACAGAATTATGGTCTCAAAATAGATGTAAATACCATTAACCTAGACAACATAAAGTGAACTGTTGTGAGTAGACATGGGTAAAACGGGGGTAGGGATAAAAATTAATAGGTCAAGAGGTAGCAGGAAAAGTACATTACTTGGTGATGAAGAGTTGATTGCCAGAAGAAACAGCTTAAAAAAGGTTTCGTTTTGAGGAGGGATGAAGTAAAAGCCTGTTGATTGTCATTATAAACCCTTTTGTACTATCTCCTTTATTTTTATCAGGTCCATGAGTCTGATTAAAATTTTTTTTATTATTTAAATGCATCTGCCCTGGTCTGTGTGACTCAGTTGGTTGAGCATCATCCCATGCGCTGAGAGGTCGCTGGTTCAATTCTGGGTCTGGGCACATGCCCAGGTTGCAGGATGAATTCCCAGTGTGGGGGCATGCAGGAGGCAGCCATCAATGTTTCTCTCTCATAGTTGTTTCTCTCTCTCTCTCCCCTCTCTCTCCTCTCTCTCTCCCCTCTCTCTCCTCTCTCTCTCCCCTCTCTCTCCTCTCTCTCTCCCCTCTCTCTCCTCTCTCTCTCCCCTCTCTCTCCTCTCTCTCTTCTCTCTCTCTCTCCTTCTCCTTTCCTCTCTCTCTCAAATCAATAAAAACATTTCTTAAAAATTTCAATGCATCCATCCAGATATTTCTTGTCTTGATGGAGGCAGTATTCACAAACATCTGAAAAACAAACCATGTAAGATGACTTAGGCAGAGCTCCCCAAGGCAATTCCCTGGGATATTGAGTCACCTTCCCATTAATATTCACTTCAGTTGTCACGGTTCAAGCTAAGTGAGCTTAAAGGCCATCTCATCTTATGGTTTAAGAGCACAGAAATCCAAGTGGCAGATATTAAATGTGGCTTGCATATTAAATCGGTATAAATTGGTATCTAAAATTTTTTTACCATAACCCACAGTAAAAAATACATTTATGTGTGATCCAGTACCCAAACACCCACATAACTGAAGCAAAACCTTTAAAAAACAATGCCTATCTTTTACTATGCATGACGTGGTCTGAAATTTTTTATTTCATTTTATTTTTATTTTTTAAAAAATACTGGTCCTTTTTTTTTTTGTAATCCTCACTTGAGGATCTTTTTCCATTGACTTTTAGGGAGAGTGGAAGAGAGAGGGAAAGAAAGAGAGAAACACATTGGTTGCCTCCTGGACCAGCACCGACCAGGGCCCGGGCCTGGGAGGAGCCTGCCACCAAGGTATGTGCCCTTGACCAGAATCAAACCGCAGGCTGAAGCTCTATCCCCTGAGCCAAACCGGCTAAGGCAATACTGATCACTTTAAATTTTTTTAATAATCCACTATTGTATTGTGACCATGGTGAAAACATGCTAATCATTGTTTTTCTCAGGCCATAGGATATGCTTGTGAAATTTGGAGCTTATTTCTCAGATCAGCTGAAGCTTCCTAATAGAACTTCCTGTTACTGATGTGTTAAAAAAAAAAAATTGTCAACTTCCATCATCTTTGTTACTTCACATGGCTCCCTTATTTTCATTTCTCTTTCCTTCAAAAAAAATATTTTTCACCGCTGATCCTGTGGGGCCCAAATATATGCACTTATATATATTGATGTTTACCCATATGTCCATTTGTTTGTACAGATTTTAACCAACCATTTGCTGCTTAAGAAAAACCACTAAATCATAACTCGAGACTCCAAAGAATGAGCTATTCGGACCAGAAGATATAAGCAAAAGTGTGGAAAGTTTATTATAAGCAGATTCAGACTCCCCGCAAGGGGAGGAGAGCCCAATAACAGGCTCCCCCTTAAAGACTTGTAGTCCAGGGGTATATATTTGCTACAAGCCTGCTTCTGTGTCTATCTGTGACGTCACCTGATTGATTCCCTCCACTGTTCTTGCCCAGCAGCAGGCCTAAACTTTCCCTGTTTCTATGTGTCTTCCTCTGTTCCCATGTTGAACTTTCTCTGTTTCTATGTGTTCGCACATCTTGTTTACTGCAGGCCCTTCCTTGGTTCCCCATGCCTCCCACTTTGAGTGCAGAAACATTTTATTATTTCTGCGTGGTTGGTTCCTGCGGTTAGGCTGGCTCCAACGGCCATGTCTGCCCCCGCCTATGGTTCACCTGCCTTTGTTTTCCATTGGACCCCTGCCCCAACTGCCTGCATTTCAAGTGAACCCTTTCACCTGTTGCACTAATAGAACTTTAATGGGCTAATTTAATTCGTTTGGATTTTTTTCTTATTAAATTAAGAACTACAAGCGGCTGTTGAAGAGGTGCTGCCAAGCCTGAAGAAAGATGATGTGTCTATCTATTATGTGAGCAGAACTTCCAACACCGACGGGGTTGGCTCTTTCCTCGACAAAGTGGATGAAGTCTCAACCGAACCTGTGCCAGAGTCCTGGAGGTCTGAAGTCACGTTCTCCACGCCTGCCTTATACATTTATACTTCTGGAACCACAGGTAAAAATACAGACAGGATTCTAAAAGAAATGGGCCTACCCTGAAGAAGGAGTTCAGTGGTGGGTTAGGTTTTCAAATGGTCTCTTTGACAAAAGTTATCAAATAACTAATACTTAAGGGGATTTAGCTCTTTTTTTCATTTAAATTCTTTATTGTTTAAAGTATTACCTAAGTCTCCTTTTTCCCCCAACCTCTCCCCGGCCACCCACACCCCCCAGCACACTCCCCCTGCCCTGTCTGTGTCCATTGGTTATGCTCATATGCACGCATACAAGTCCTTTGGTTGATCTCTTACCCCCTCCCCCCTACCTTCCCTTTTAGGTTGCACAGTCTATTCGATGCTTCTAAGACTGTGGTTCTATTTTTGTTCATCAGTTTATGTTGTTCATTATATTCCACAAATGGTGAGATCATGTGATATCTATCTTTCTCTGGGGGATTTCGTTCTTTGCCTGTGAGAATGATATCATCTCATAGCACATGATCCCATTTGAGTTTCTCCAAGCTATGCATATTTCCCCCTCCTTGGTATGTAGAAGAATAAAGTGGTTAACCAAAAATTATCAAAGTAGTTGTGATGATGGATCAGTTTGGAACTGAGTAGGTTTGGGGAATTTTTTAAATGATTGTTGTATTTTGATTATAATCAGAGTCCATATGTAACGTGTAACCAATTATAAATAGATCACCAGAGAAGACTATAGGACAATACTGGGGTCATCCTATAAAATAAAAGCCTAATATGCTAAGTGTCCAGTCTTCCGGTCAACCAATCAAAGCATAATATGCTAATGATATGCTAACCGCTCAACCGCTCACTATGACGTGCACTAACCATCAGGGGGCAGACGCTCCAGCTGGCAGGTTAGCTTGCTGCTAGGGTCCAGCCAATTGGTACTGAGGGAGAAGGGCCGGACACACCCTGGAGTCATCCCACAGTCCCTCCCCAGCTTGCCAACCTCCCGCGTCCTTCCCCAAGCCCCAGTTGTGCACCAGTGGGGTCCCTCAGTCTGGCCTGTGCCCTCTTGCAATCCAGGACTGCTCAGGGGATGTCAGAGAGCCAGTTTTGGCCCAATCCTGCAGGCCAGGCCGAGAGACCCTACTGGTGCATGAATTTGTGCACCAGGCCTCTAGTATTTATATAAATGTTTTGACTGCTATCTTCCCATGCAACACTGAGTTAGAGCTGCTTGCCATTGTGGGTGTATGATGGCTGGAGCTGTTTGCTGCTGTGAGTGTAGGATGGCTGTCAACTCAGGGCCTAAAATACTGTATTTCATCACACTGGATGCTGCACCATTATTTTTATGAGCCACTAAGAAAAAGCATTGCCAATTAGCAGTGTTGGAACATTGCTAAATAGAATGGGCAATAAATATTAAGGGTAAGATGTACTAGGTGTGCCCCTGGGAGCTTTATGGCATTTGTTCATACAGTTCTCCCACCACTCTTGAGATTTGTACTATTGTTATTCCCAAAAGTTATATACTACACTGCCAACCAAATGGTAGGCTGAATAGTTAACCAAATGCTTCCACTACATACAGACTCTACCTTAACATATGAGACTTTGTCCTCAATTCTTTTTTTTAAAATATATTTTATTGATTTTTACAGAGAGGAAGGGAGAGGGATAGAGAGTTAGAAACATCAATGAGAGAGAAACATCGATCAGCTGCCTCCTGTACACCCCCTACTGGGGATGTGCCCGCAACCAAGGTACATGCCCTTGACTGCAATCGAACCCGGGACCCTTCAGTCCACAGGCCGATGCTCTGTCCACTGAGCCAGTCAGGGCTTTGTCCTCCATTCTTAAGAGAATGGAAAAATTAAATTGTAAACTTCATTTTGGGAAATTAATGAGCCCTTGGTGAGTGACTGGGAGTTCTAGTCTTAATACTAGATAAATGTAGAATGCATTCATCATGCAGGTTTGGGCTGTCAAAAATAAAACCCATTCTAGGAAGATAAAGAGAATCCACACTCCTTAACTAATCCCATAATTCAGAATTTATATTTACATGGAAGATAGTTGGGTTGATGTTTATTCTACTTTTCTTCTTGTCTCTAAATAAAATTTTGCTCTTATAAACATTGATTCAAAGAACTCCCTTAAGCAACTGGAGAACAAAATGTTTTTCCTGTTCCTCCAAAGGCAGTCACTGGCACAGAATTATGTAATAGTTACCAAGCACTCTTAATTCTTCATTAATACAAAAATCTTAAATTAGGAAAGTTTCTGAAAGTACTTCAAAGCAGCAAAGGCTATGCCTGTCTATGTATAATTCAGAGCTTTTACTATTCAGAAGATTCTTTTTCCATGGTGAATACAATGGGCTTATTGATGTTTTCTTCTATTTCTTAATATTAGTATTTCTTAAAATGGGGCATTCAGTACTACCACACAATGCCAGAGAAAATGAACTTTGAATTGTGTTTATAATGATGGTAGTTTGCTGTTCTTTAGGCGATACCTGGCAACGGTACCATCAAGTACTGAAGGGTCTGAGTGTACAGAGAACTGCATTTCCCTTCACAAAGCCAATTGACCCACTCAGGTCTTAAACTCTAGCTCAGCCCCTTAGTAAGGCCTTCACACCCTCCTCAATTAAGTTGACCTTCCATAGGAAACAATATAAGCATATCCTTTCAATAAGGTCTTACAAAAAACTTACATAAATTATGGTTAAGAATATACAAATGTATTTAGTCTAGTAGACTAAAACTACACTGAGATATCAATTTTCACCTTGCAGGTTTGCAAAAATTTTCCCATTTGAGAGCACACCTTGGCAAGGCTATGAGGAAGCATGTACATTCACATATTGCTGACAGGAGGAAAAATAGGGACCGACCTTACAGCTAGCACTGTAGTGGTACCTATCAAAATTACAAAGGCATGTCTTTTGACCCCACAGTCTCACTTCAGCAAATGTAATGTACAGACATGGTATCATTCATAGTGTGAACTGCCATGGGGACCAGGTTATTTACTGCAGCATCGTTTAAAATAGCAAAATGGTGTGGATAAAATATAATATACACATACAAAGGACTTGATGTGACTGAGAGAGAATAAATGAATGAATAAATAAGGGAAATTTCTATGTACTAATGTGAACAAATCTCCAAGATTCATTGTTAAGTGTAAGGAAAAGTGCTGAAGAGTGTTTTTATTTTTTAAATGGAAGAAATGGCAAGAACATATGAGCAAATGTTCATAATTTCGTATATATGTGTATGTACATTATGCATATACATACAGAAACTCTAGAAGAGTACCTAAGAAATCACAAAAGTAGCTATGAAGGAAGGTGATGGGGCGGATAGGCTATTTACCCTCTGAATCTCATCCTTCTTATCTGTGGATTAGAGAACATAATTCCACTTATCTCATTAATTATGGGAATTAAATGAAATTTTGAAAATACGCTGTAAGGTGGTAGACATAGAGCAGAAATCGAATAGTCGTTTCTTCCTTTCTCTTAAAATTACTACTGTAATAACCATGTCACACAGGGATCAGCAATGTCTGGCCTGTGTGCCAAATATAGCCTCCACCCCCACACACGCACCTGTTTTTGTAAATAGTTTTATTGGAACATACCCACATTCATTCCTTTATGTCAGCGATTTTCAACTGGTGTGCTGCAAGAATTTTTAAAACATGCAATACCTGACTGTTTAATCAGCGGCACTGACGTCTTTTCTCTTAGATCAGTGGTTCTCAACCTGTGGGTCGCGACCCCCTTGGGGGTCGAACGACCCTTTCACAGGAGTCGCCTAAGACCATCAGAAAACACATATATAATTACATATTGTTTTTGTGATGAATCACTATGCTTTAATTATCTTCAATTTGTAACCATGAAAATACATCCTGCATATCAGATATTTACATTATGATTCATAACAGTAGAGTAATTACAGTTATGAAGTAGCAACAAAAATAATTTTATGGTTGGGGGTCACCACAACATGAGGAACTGTATTAAAGGGTCGTGGCATTAGGAAGGTTGAGAACCACTGCCTTAGATTGTCAAATTAAAAAATGGTAACAGCCAACACAACAGCCATCCAGTGTGAATGAATCAAAATTATACCTAATTCTTTTGTCAGGTTGGCAAAAAATATGTTTGTTTGTTGTTTGTGCTGCAGAGTCTTAGTAATTAGTTTATGTGTGCCATGAGATGAAAAAGTTTGAAAATCACTGCATTATTGTTTTGTTGCTGTCAGCTACAATATAGGAGTAGAGTTAAGTAGTTTCAACAGAGACTGTATGACTGTGCAAAGCCTAAAACATTTACTGTCTAGTCCTTCACCGAAAAATTTGCCGACTCCTGGTCTAACTGATTATGGCCCTTCCATCTGCAATTCTCTAATCGCCCGACGATGAATCGCAAGCCAGATCTCTCTCCCAGACCATGTGTCTGTGAATGGCTGGTCTTGGCTCACTCAGACATACTCTTGTATCTTTACAAAGGTCTCCCAAAAGCTGCAATGATCAATCATCATCGCTTATGGTATGCAACCGGCCTCAGTCTTATAAGCAGGGTTACGAAAGATGATATCATCTATACCACTCTGCCCTTGTACCACAGCGCTGCGCTTATGATTGGCTTACATGGATGCATTGTGGCTGGTAAGCTTTTTCTCTCAACAAGGCAATGGAGGTCAGTATACATTCACATCTACTCATAAGAAAAAGTAATTCAAAATTTGGCTACTCTCCTGTGTGGTAGGAAGTGTTAATAACAAAGCTGTTTGACTCACACATGGCAAGCAGGTATTTAAATAATTTCTATTTTTCATGCCTGCTTATCTAATAGTATAATGCTATAATTGTTCAGTATGTCAAGGAAGAAACTTTTAAAAAATATTTGATGTCTTTATCCAGGTCAAAACACTTGATTCTTTTTATTTTACTTTTTTTTTTTTTTTTTGAGAAAGAGAGAGAAAGGAAGAGGGGGAGAGAGGAATATCAAAGATCAATGCAAGAGTAATCATTCAGCTGCCTCCCACACCCCTCTTACAAGGGATTGAGCCCACAACCCAAGAATATGCCCTGACTAGGAATTGAACCAGCAACCTTTCCCATGAATGGGTTGACACCTCACCAACTGAGCCACAGCAGCCAAGGCAAACATTTGATTCTTATATTTCATACATAATTCTCTGCCATCATTTCCATTTTTAGAAATCTGCATGTTGGTCTCCATCGGCATTTCATTTCAACTTTTCCTTCAGTTGTTGCCATTCTACTTTATTCTTCCCTACTCCTGCAACTCCTCAGCTCTGGTCAGAATACCTAGCTTGTCACCTCTTCTCTTTCCTTCTCAAACTTTACCATTCAAAACAGAGTTGCCACCCTCTCTTCCTTCAGTAGGATTGATGCCAACCTTTCATACATTAGCGCTCTGTCTTGTAGCCTCCTCTTCCAGGAAACCATCTCTAATGCTCTCCCAGCGGTTCTCAACCTGTGGGTCGCGACCCCTTTGGCGGTCGAACGACCCTTTCACAGGGGTCGCCTAAGACCATCCTGCATATCAGATATCTACATTATGATTCATAACAGTAGCAACATTACAGTTATGAAGTAGCAACGAAAATAATTTTATGGTTGGGTCACAACATGAGGAACTGTCTTTAAAGGGCCAGGAGGTTGAGAACCACTGCGAGTCTAAGCTAAAAAACTTAAATTTATCTCGGCATGTTATTTTATTATAAATAATTATATATGTGCATACAGGGTATCCCGCCCCAAAAAATGTATACACACTTTAACAGCTCGTAGCTCAATTTTGAAAATGAAATGTATTTTCATAAAATTATACTCAAAGTATTTGAGTATAATTACTCAAAGTGTGTGTATACATTTTGGGCAGGACACCCTAAATATACACATGACATATACAATTGCCCAAAACTCTGCTTCTTTCCCTCACCAACTTAGTGGGCTGCTGAAAAACAGTTAGCCCCATATCAGCCTCCAAATCAGCAGGACATGAGTGGCTCTGATCATACTGCTGGGCCCTGTGAGAACAGGGTAACTCTGAGGCTCCCAGAAAGACAATTCAATCACTCACACATTCCCTTGAGCAGCAAAAATACATGCAAAAGAAGGAATAAATAGTAGTTTTTACAATGTCTCCTCTTTGAAAACATTGGATTTTTGTATATATAGGAGTAAAAATAAACTAATACCATAAATATTTGTGAGTTTATTTCACTTTGCTACATTTCATGCCTCTAATTAGGTTAAATATAATAAGATACATTATTTTACCCATTGTGATAGTCTCCTATTGCTACCATAGCAAATCACAAACTTAGTAGTTTAAAAGAACACAGATTTGTTCTCTTACTGTTTTGAATGCCAGAAGTCCTAAAATCAAGGTATCAGCAGAGCTGCATTCCTTCTGAAAGCTCCAGGGCAGAATCTATTTCCCTGCCTTTTCTAGCTGCTAAAGGCTGCCTGCTTTCCTTGGCTCATGGCCCCTTCTTTCACCTTCAGAGCATATCACTCCAGCCTTTGTTTCCGTCATCCCATCTCCTTCGGCCCTTGACCTTCTTGCCTTCCTCTCATAAGGATCCTTGTGATTATATCGGGCCCACACAGGTAATCCAGGATCATCTTCCCACCTCAAAATTCCTTATTACATCTAAACAGACCCTTTGCCATGTAAGGTGGCATAGTCACAGGTTCTAGGGATTAGAATATGGACATCTTGGGGAACAATTTTGTCTACTCCCCCAACAAAGAAGAATTCTCCTGCTTGCTCAAGAGCCTGGCTCTCCAGTGCCCACACAGTGAAGTCTGGTTCCTCCACCTGCCACTTCCAAGCTCTCCATGACTGCGCCCCTAGCTGCTTCTCCAGCTTCATCTTTCATGAGCCACCCATGCTTTACCGCCCCACTTACCAGTCAACTGAGTGTTAGCCATCCTCCAACACCTTCTGAATTATCCTGTCTTTATGTTCATGCTTTTTCCTCTGCCTGGAATTCTCTCATCTTTCTCCATATTCATTTCTCAAGAGCTAATTCAAATTCTACCTCTTCCAAAAATTGCCTCTCTCGGCCCTTGCCCAAACAGAATCAATGTACACACACACACACACACACACACACACACACACACACACACACACTCACATTCCCTTAGGGTCTTGCTTGAACCTTTTATTTATTGCACACTGACTTTTATTAGAAAGACTTTTTTATGTCTTCTTCTGACTAGATTGGAGGCTCCTACAGGACAAAACAGGTCTCATATGGGTTTTTATGCATTGAATATACTTGGTTCTCAGCACATTTTTTTGAGTGTAATACTTGTAACTCTTTTTACTAACCCTTTCTCTCCAGGTGCCACTCTGGTTTTGCGGAACAAATTCTCAGCCAGCCAGTTTTGGGACGATTGCAGAAAATACAACGTCACTGTCATTCAGTATATCGGAGAACTGCTTCGGTATTTATGCAACTCGCCCCAGGTAACTCCCCGTGTTTTATTATCTTTTTGAAGTGGGTAAGATGGGAATTCAAGTCAGTTTGGGTCATGCTAGGCTTTATCTGGTTTGTTTTATCATTTTTTATTTTTAGACTTTAACTGTTTGTCACAACCAAGTGCTTGGCACCTCCCTATCGCATAGAAGAGATTTGCTAGATGATAGTTGCTTTTAATATTATCATTCCCTACCTTTGTCCCTGTTTTCACATCTTACCCTCTTTTCCACTCTCTGCCTATTTAAAGCCTACTCACATTCAAAGCTCAGCTCAAATGACTGCTTATATGACAAGAGTCATTACTCTCTGCCGACATCATTTGATATCCACCCCATTGCGGTCCTTGTCTCATTGCCGGTGTTTGTCTTCATGTCTCCCATTCTCCCTGGGGAATAAAAGTTTTGATGGCTGGGACCACATATGTCTTCTGGCCTTCTCTTATACCAAAGGCAGTCAGGAAACTTAGTTAATGTTACTTCTATGAATAAGTCCCCATGTGGCTTTGAAACTATCTAAGTCTGACCGTTTGGAACAGATGCCCCAGGGTAACTCCAAGGGCCCTGGATCTATCCCGTTTACACATGTCCAGATATCTTGATGGAATATTTGGAAGAGCACCCCCTGCCCAGTCCCTCAGCTCTCACCAGCCTGCCTGGGGACCAGATCAGGGCTTCTCAACAGTGGCGCTGATGACATTTTAGGTCCCTTCACCCTTTGCTGTGTGGACTTATTGAATGCACTGTAGGACACTTAGTAATATCTTCGGCTTTTTGCCAGGACATGCCAGTAGTATCCTTTCACTCTTCCCCCAGATCGTGATAATCAAAATGTCTTGAAACTCTGCCAGATATCCCCAGGCAACATCATCCTCAGTTGAGAAACACTAGACTAGGCAATGCAATAAGTTCACCAGATTCTACTTCCTTTAATCATTTCAATTCATCATAGGAAAACAAATTAGAAGGATCACCAAGTTGATAAATTGGTATTTATAAACACTGGTTATGTTCAACTTATTTAACAGCTGCTGTGTATAAGAAGTTTGTGTATAAGAAGTTTAAGTATAAGAAGCTCTAGCCCTAGTTCTCTCATTCAGTTTTGAACCACATGCCACCTCATCAGAGGCCCCTCCTACTAACAACAAAGTTATCACCCTGCCTCTTACCATTCATCTCATGGATTACTGCTTTTCGCAGCACTATCACCTCTGACATAGTCCAGGTGTACATGACTGTTGTCTGTCTCTCTCAATTAAATGAAATTTCCATGCACTGGGGGCTTTGTTGGCTGCCAGATCCCTAGCACCAAGATCTGTATCTGGCACATCCTAGGCAGCAACAAATTTTGCTGAATGAACATCTAAGTTCTCACCAAGGAAAGATATATAATTAAGGTAAAGGAAGTAATATGTTTCCCCAAAATGTTATGGCTTTGTACTTATTATTCTGATTTGGGGGGCAGATTCAAAGGATTCATGAGGGTCATCATTAGTGGTAAGCTAGGTTAGGACCTTTTCTACAGCAATTTCTGTTGATGTCATTGAATTTTTTTCACATTAGTTTTCCATCTGGTCCTCAAGGTTGCATGACTCTCTAATAAAACCCAGAAATCCATATGGGGCCCTTCTGTTTGGCTTTTCTTTTCTGCCTAAAGTTACCTCCTTGTCAAACAGAAGTCTCCTGAGGGAGAGCATGTTATTTCTATTAGTTCTAACGGGAGCTGCCTTTGGACTTGTGGAAAAGAAATGTTTGTGTGTAGCTCTTTCAGACTCACACACACTCTAATAATATAACACTACACACCCATTCGATGGCTACTACCAAAAAACAGAAAACAACAAGTATTGGCATGGATATGGAGAAATTAGAACCCTGTGTACTGCTAGTGGGAATGTAAAATGGTACAATTACTGTGAAAAACAATATGGCAGTTCCTCAAAAACTTAAAAATAAAATTACCATATGATCCAGAAATTCCACTTCTGAGTACATATCCAGAAGAACTTAAAGCAAGGTCTCAAAGAGCTTGCTTTTTGTACGCCATGTTCATAACAGCATTATCATAATAGCTAAAATATAGAAGCAACCCAAGTGTCCATGGATGGGTGGGTGGGTGGATGGATGGATGGATAAGCAAAAAGCTGAGGCACAGGAAGCTACACAGATTCTGAAAATCTCTTGACATACAACTTTGCTCAGAAGGAAAAGAGGGAACTTATGCTTATGAACTTGCTTTTAAAAAGCAGTTATATTGTACACTATGTTCACAGCGGTATTATTCATAATAACTAAAACGTAGAAGCAACGTAAATGTCGGTCGACAGATGAATGGATAAGCAAAATGTGGTACTGAACATACATACATGCAATGGAATATTATTCAGCTTTAAAAAGGAAGGAAATTCTGAAATATGCTACAATATGGGTGAACCTTGAGGACATTATATTAAGTGAACTAGCCAATCACGAAAAGACAAATATGGTATGATTCCACTTATATGAGGGACTTAGAGTAGCCAAAATCATGGAGACAGAAAAGTAGAATGGCAGTTGCCAAGGGCTGGGGGAGGGAAGTAATGGGAAGCTATTGTTTAATGGGTACAGAGTTTAGTTTTACAAGATGATAAGAGTTATGGAGATGGATGCTAGTGATGGTTGCACAACATTATGAGTATATTTAATACCACCAAACCGTATAATTAAAAATGGTTTAGGTAGTAAATTTTGTTATGTGTATTTTACTACAATTTAAAAAGAAAGGTCATGATAGGAAGCCCAGATGGATGTAAAAGGAGTTTAAAGGACAATTGTATTAAATGAACTTCCCAAACAAAAGTAGAACTAATGGTGGAAGGCTGTAGATCAATGTAATCAGGACCTTTCTCACCCTTAGAGCTGCCTAAATAGGCTGTCCCTGGAAGGGCTAACCACCATCTCTAGCAGCAGATATCAGGGAGGCAACTTCTGCTTTAGCTGAGCACATGAGCCCAATGACATCCCTCACACCCGTGGACATGGCATGGCTCCTCAGGAGAATTTGGGGTATTCTGGAGTAATGCCTCTCCTCCCTCTTTTTAACCACATTCAGTAGCTCCTTTGGTAGAGCAGAGGAGTAGGGAGGTATGTTCCTAGCCATCCTTAGCAGGGGAGTTCAGATTTGGAGCAAGGGACTTAACGTAGTGCTTAAAAGCAAGAACTCTAGAGTCAGCAGGCCTGACTCCTGATTCTACTGTTTGATCGGGATAGTTAACCTTTAAATCTGTTTCCCATCAGCCAACAGGGGAAACAAGGGTACCTACCTCACAAGGGGCTGTGAAGGCAAAATGATGTATGTTAAGCATGTAGCAAAGTACCTGACACTATAATCAACAAATGATAACCATTATTCTCATTGTTTTCAGTGCTGAAGAATGTATAGCTCATAGTAGTTGCTATATACATACTCATTGAATGAATCAAAGAAAATTCTGCCACACATACACAAAGGAAGAAATAAGAGAAGATACTCAAATTAGTCAATTACTCTTATCTAATGTTGAGAGGGGGTTGGATAGCAACGCTATTGACTTAAGTGATTTTTTTTACAGTATTATTGTTGAAGAGTCTTATCTATTTACCTGTTTTCCGTTGTTATATTTGGGGCTTAGCATTCTGAGCACCTCTTTACAATGAAAGGCTAGCTTGGCTCATTTCCTGCCGTGTGTAGTTGTCAGCTCCCATTTAGTTTGTGTCATTGCCTAAAAAGACTGTTATTCATGTTCCAGTTATTTATTGGAACAAGATACCTCTAAAGCTGAATGTTTCTGTACTCCAGTTAGGGACTGAAGCTATAGGAAGAGATTGAAATGAGGCTTTGTCCTGCCTACTAAGAGCGTGACCTGGGCAGGAGGAGGAAAAGGGAATCAGAAAAGAGTTCTAGGGACCACACATAGCAGGCACGATATCAGGAAGGGGAAATAAGGTAGAGCAAAACTCTGAAATAACTGAACAAACTCAGCTTATATCCTAGTGTTATCTGCCATCTTTCCAAAACTAGGTAACCTCTGTGGTCCTTTCCCAGCCCAAATGTCTATCTGTGTCACCTCCATTCTGGCAGAAGACAGAATAGAGAGGTATGTAACAGTGCAGAGTGGAGAGTGACCAGTTTGGAGGCCAGGACAGGGACAGGCAAGAGGAAGGAGGGAAAGCGCAGAATCAGGGAAGGCTGCCACAGAAGCTGAGTTTTGAAGAGTGCAGAGGCGTTCCCCAGCCGCGCAGAGAGAGAAGGGCTTCTGGTTAGCTGGAACACATGCGCAGAGCTGCAGAGCGGAGGGGTGAAGGGCCTGGCATATCGGGAACTGCAAGCAGTGTGGCAGAGGTGAGACTGGTTGACTGGGCCAGGTGAGAAGGGCTTTACTTTGCTGAGAACTAATTGTGACTGTGGCAAAGCGTCCTAACGGGCCTTTCGTGGAAGAGTGATGTGGGAGAGGGTGTTTTAGACAGTCCCGTGGCTACAGTGGAAGATCCCCTGGAGGGAGAGAGGCCCCTCTATAAAGCAGAGACGTTGAGCCTCGCCCTTTTATTCCTGTCAGTGGGTGCTTCGTCCTCTCCTGGGGATCCAGGCTGAAGTCTAGCATATTCACTGGTAAGAACATGGACTCAGGAATTGTTTTGAAGATGGTGAATACCTTCTGCCCTTTCACCTCTTAGAAGTTTCCCAAAATGCAGGAGGACAAGGAAAAGATGCACATTGTCATAGAAACCAAGAGACATAGCAGCAGGGAACTACGTAGTACAAAGCAGAGAGATGAAGGTCACTGACATCACAGGACTGAGGGAGGTGAAACAAGAGGCAGGTGCCAACAAGAAGGAAATTGAAGACGTCAAACACAACTGCAGATGGCAGGAGGTGTCAGGCTTGGAAACAAGAGGATTTTTGAAAGTGAAAGTCTGTGTGGGAAACAGCAGGACCTGCTGCCCCCTCTCCCACCCTAGTGGGAGGCAGGAGG